ATGTTGCTCATGTCCATTCGACTCGCACCCTACCTCCCCTTCGTCGGAGTGTCCGGCAAGAAGGAACTGAGGTGGGGCAGTGCCGGTAGGAGTACTCATGCCCTGCCATGGCGGCGCCACTCCAGGGGGCGCCCTGCCGGCGCTACAGGTACCGCTAGGGAAAATGTTCTGGAAGACACGGTGCACGTGGTGCGCACACCTACTTCGAATGGACATGAGCAACACATCTCGAAGAACAACAGTTACAGGTAAGTAACCGTTCTTTTCTTAACTTTATGTACTCTCAATAGTTCCACTGAAGTGAAGCACACGCTTACATTTTTCAGGATTGGGGCCTATTTGTTCAAAAGGATAGTGTTGAATACTGAATTCAGTGGAGTGGATTAAATATTTAGAATTGTTTCTCTAAATATTTGGCAACAGTTCTTACATGGAAAATGGAAAGTGATTGCTATAAATACATAAGGAAAATAGCAGTGGAATGATGTCATCACAGAGAAAGCTGGAAGCAGTTAAAATAATAATGTCAGTTAATAGATTAATGATACTACTCTTTCCTATTCCAGGAAGATTTTTTTTTTAACATGGAATAAAATTATTGGCATTCTTTGGGCAAATAAAAGTCCATATTAAAAAAAAAAAATCCAGTATACTAAGGAAACAAAAGCATTAAAGATCCTAGAATTTTATTGTGTTTTCAAACTATGTCCTATCTGCAATGGGTGAAACATGGATGTATAGTTACAAAGGACCTTCCACGGTAGAAACTGAGAATTGTTTGTAAGGAAATGGTCGGTCAAATACTGGTAATTCCTTTACTTTGGCTTTGTAGCCACTACATGTTGAGCCTCTCTAGTTTGGAAACTTCAGGACCTGACTGGTTCTGAACAAGAGAGAATTTTCTGGACCATGGGAGGCCAATATTGTCTAGTAACATTACCAACATTTCTATTGATTACGGAGCTGTTAGAGGACATTTCTCCGAGGCCTTGCTCTGCTTGCTCGGTTGCCCTTCCTCCCTGAATCTCATTCACTTTCACCAGGCTGGGGTAGGAGTGTAGGCTCTAGTCTTGGATGTGTGGCAAATCCCCTATCCCCTTCAGCCACTCCAGGGTCCACCCCCCAATGTGGGGGTAAATTAAAACTAAATAACAGCATAGACCACTGAGAGCTAGGACTGGTGTCTGAAAAAAACTTTATGGGACCACGGGAAACTTGGCCACACCCATGAAAGGTGGACATCCAGCTTACTAAAATCATTCCGGATGACAGATGTTTCTGGACAAGAGAGTTCTGGATTAGAGAGGTTCAACCTGTAGTAATGTTTCAGTGTCTTGGAGATGCGCTCTTTGAATATAAAATATACATATGTACACACTTGCCATTAATTAAACTAAAAAAATAAAAAACAGCCTAAGTACTTCATTACGTGCAGAGCAACCCTTGGCAGATCTGAATAGAAATAATTACATTTGTTTAAATTATTTGTTATGGTGAAGACTGTGTGTTGGCACACTCATTTTTGAAATCAATGTGCATTTTTTTCAGTTAAGTACACTTAAGAGTGTCCATGCATAGACTTACTTAAATGACAAAAGTTGTGAATTAAAACTGATGTAGTTATTTAGGTGCAGATTTGTGTATAGGTCAGCTGTAAAAAACATGCAACAATAATTGGCTCAAAGCTAACATAGCATTAGGCTGAGATTGTGACCAAACTAACATAATCTTAAAGATGTTTGGGCTCTTTTCAAATTACTAGTAGAATTGATCACTTCATCCCCTTTCCTTCTGTTACTCAGTATCCCCCAACCCTCACTCACTCATTTTCACCAAGCTGCGCAAGGGGTTGGAGTGTGCGAGGGGGGTGAGGTTGTCAGTTCTAGGGTGGGACCAGGGATGATGAGTTTGGGATGCAGGAGGAGACTCTGGACTGAGGCTGGAGGTGTGGGCTCTAGGCAGGGGCCAGAAATGAGGGATTAAGGGTGCAGAAGGGGGATTCAGGTGGAGGCAGGTTGTTTGATACAGGGGTGATGGCTCGGGGTCTTCCCCTCCCACCCGCAAGGAACAAGAGCATGCTGCCTGGAGGCTTTCCCTGCTGCAGCAGGGTGCCAAGCCAGGTAAGCATCCCCCCATATGCCCAGACCCCTCACCCAAATCCCCCTTACTCACTCCCCTCCCCCCGCCAAGACCCCATATTCCCGGCATGCTCTGACATCCTGCCCCAAGACTCCTCCTGTACCCTCCCTCCTGGCCTGATATCCTGTTCCAAGCTGAGCCGGGCAGCTGGGACCCTCAGATAACTGGAATTTTTAGATAACCGGAATGCCCTAATCCCCAAGCGTGCCAGATAACACAGGTTTTACTGTAAAAGAAAAAACAATCATTACATGTATCTACATAGATTTACTACAAATAACTTTTAAAAGATCATTCTTAAATATAGTAAAGAGTAATCCTCTATCCATGTTGACAATTCAATGACGAGTACTAGTGAAGAAAGGTTGCCCTCACAGCTGGGGAAGCTAGCACAAGTTACTGCAATTTGTGTGGCTTTCCTTGTGCATTTTGGCAGGTGACAAACTAGCAGAGCCAATGGTGGGGCATCCATGTGTTCAGGGGATGAGGAAACCATGTCATGGAGACAGTAAAGCATGAGCATGGGTGCTCTGTCTGGAAATGTGCCAAAAGGGAACCACATTTTTATATAGAAATTATTGGCTGAGTTGTGTAATGGCTGAACAGCTTGTTCAATTTCTGTTTCTTTAAAGAAGACTTACTTTATCAAGCAATGATTTTGAAACTATAAAAGACATGCCTAACTGTGTGAATCGTCTCATGGAAATAGTGAATAAGGGTCGAAAAATAGTGACAGATGCTGCTGACTGCAAGTTCTTTTTTGAACAAAGATGATATACACTCGCTATTGCTGCAGTCCTACAAACATTGACAATTTATGCTGCATACTATTCTCGTTAAATTTAATGGGACTACTTGTGCATAAATTTAAGTTTTATTTAGTAATGTTTCTTTAGCAGTTTGAAGTACCATATCGAATTATTGGAGTTTTATATTAATGGTACTCTTTGTAGCTTCACCCCTAAAGAAAGTACTTGACAAAAACATGGATGAACAATGTTAGTAATGAAAAATGTGCCATCTATATTTTATGGATGAGTAATCTGTTTTCAGCAAAATTTTTCATCTCAAAAAATCTTTGAAGCACGCTTTCAAATTTTAACTTGGATGGTACAGAAACTAGTTTAGAAATATGTTGAATTAAAGAGAGCCCTACATTATTTCTCTTTATTAGATTTTTTTTCAGTCCAAGGAAAAGATTACTAATATACTGCTTTACCAGCTTTTCTCTAGATTAAGAATCTCATTTTGAAAATTTCTGTAATATCTATTGAAGATTATAAAGTATCAGAAAAATGGCTGACATTTATTCTGCCATATTAAACATACAATACAATGAAGGCTTTTGTCATAGTTTTAATAAGCTTCAGGTTCTATTTTACCATAGAAATTCAGAAATACAAGACTGTTTGCATCAGTGCTTAAGAACTAGGGAATGAAGTAAATGCCTCTCATTTTTAACACATTTCTAAAGGAGGCTTTTTAAATTTTGTTTATAGGCTACTAGAAAATTTACCTGGCGTAGCTCAGATAACTCAAATAAATTTTGTTTTTCTTCATTTAAATCATTGTTATTGGGATGGAAATGAGGGGTCCAGACTGACCTTAGGAAAGAGAACAATCCCAGCCCTCTCACCACAGCAGCTTGAGGCCACGTGAGAAGCACCTGTCCATATCCACTGCAGTGGGCATAGCCTGGGAAGGGGTGCATGTCCCCTGCTGGGAACAGACACACAGATAAATGCTCTGAAATATATGGTAGAATAACTGTCCCTTTCTCCACCACTGGTCCAATGCAGTTATAGATGTCCCAGGTCCCATCTCTGGCTGCTTGCTGTCTGCTGTAGTCATTCTATAGTATAACTGCCTTCTATCACATCCCTCCCTTTCCATTTTATGAGAGACTGTCACATTCCAGGTACATCCTATTGTCCTGTCATAACCAAACCTTTACCTTGTCCTACCGTCCACGCCTTTGCTCCGTGTCTCCCTGGTCTGCTGGGGGGCCTCCCCCAGCAGACCAGGGAGACGCGGAGCGGCTTTTCTCGCTGCGGAGGACGCGGGCGGCGGGACCGCTGCACATCTGGTCGGTACCGCTGCCCGCGTCCTCTGCGGCGAGGAA